GGGAGGGAGGGAGGAGGGACAGAGGGAGGGAGGGATGGACGAGGGTCGGAGGGAGGGAGGGAGGGGACATACCGGGGCGCGACGGCGGCATCAGCGGGCAGCAAATGCGGCGGTTAATGGCAGTAGAGGCGGGGGGTGGCAGCAGCAGTGACGGGGATGGAGGTGGAGAGTGGAGAGCGAGAATGAGGGCCGCGTGCGGGTGAAGATGAGTTAAACTTACCAGTAACGCATGATAGGAAACGACGCTACTGCTAAACTCTGTAGCAGTAGCGCCGGCCTGTCGACCAGCGCTGCTGCTAAGGCCGGCCCTCTCGGCTGGCCCATGCACAAATAGCAGTAGCGGTGGTCTACCAATGAGCGCTACTGCTAACATGTTAGTAGTAGCGCTGCTTTCCAATGGCCGCTACTACTACGGTCAACACCGGTGGGTGTGGAAGGGTCCACAAAGCAGTAGCGTTCCGGTAGGTGTGGAAGGGTCCACAGAGCAGTAGCGTTGGTAGGCTATCCAATGCTACTGCTAGTTCCATACTTGTAGTGCTCATCTATCATGCGCGCTACTGTTAATTAGCAGTAGCGCCGCGCCAGTTCCCGCGCTACTGCTAAGGTTCTATCTATAAGTTTTCTCCTAGTAGTGCATGTTCTTTTACTCTTTCTTTTGTGTTGTGCAACAAAGGAGCACGTGCAACAGCCGGAAGCACGCCGACTAAAGGATGAGTATCTAAAAGCTCGCTAACACTTGGCATTCTCATTAATGGTGGATTCCTCTTAAGCTTCTTCAAGTGTGTCTGAGAAGTGAAGAATTAGCATACTTGTTTTGATTTCTGAAGAAACCACAAAGCCACTAATCTTTACTTGGGAACAATGAAAGACAAGTCAAACACTCTCACTACTTGCAAAGCATCGTCCAGAACACAAAGCAGCTGAAAAAAAAAAGTGAAACGGTTTCAGAATCCAGGCATTTTCACCAATTAGGAATTCCTAATATTTATTCATATAATGAGGTTATTCCACATTTGTGCAGAAATATGGTATAAAGTATCTCTCTAAAGTATTGTGAAGTTCTATAAATCTAGGGCTTGTTTGGATCAAGGGAGTTCCACAAGAATTTCGCACGAAACCAAACAATAATCCACAAAAGTTCTTAAAACATCCTTTCCGTTCCAAACTCGCCAACAATTTACAGCTAATTTTTGTTTATTCTAAAGAACTCATTTACTTCCATCCAAATATACTTACCACACAATCAAAAAGTAAATATTGCACAGATTCATCTGTAATTTGCAGGTCTAGCGCCCAAAAACTCAATAACAAAATGCACATCAAAGTACTAGCAAATACACATAACTTCGTAGTCAGTATTCTTTTACAACAATGGAAGACAAGTACTACAGATAGTCAGATATGCTCAATAATGGGCGCATATGCCTGCACATAGCTTTACTTCAACACCACGTGATGCACTTTGCTCATCCATGGACCTTGGCCTGGAAGTATGACATGCAGCTATACATCTTCTTGGTTACCTTCCCTTGCATGTTGTCCACATACTGATAGAATGCACACCTCCAGGTCTCGCTGTAAAACCAGAACATGCCGCAGTACAGCCAGAACCCAAAGATGAACCCAGCAGCCACAAAGCAATACAGCCACAATGCCTCCCTGTTGTCTTCAGCCTGGCTCATTCCGCTTTGCGTCGATGTCGGCGAGTCTACACAGCCCTCCAAGGGGAAACCACATAACCCTGGATTGTTGCTGTATATGGATGGATCTGGGAGCGTTCGCAGCTGATCGCTCATAGGTATCAACCCCGATAAATTGTTACTCGAGAGGTTCAGAGCGGTTATGCTCTTCAAACCTGCAAAGCTTGGAGGAATTTCTCCCGAGAGTCGGTTCAGAGAAAGGTCCAAGGATTCCAGCAGTACTAGATTGCCAATGTCTTCGGGAATGCAGCCCAACAAATGATTTCCTGATAAGTTCAGATACCTCAGTCCAAGAAGGGTTGTGAGCCCCTTTGGAATCTCTTGTGACAGAGAGTTGCCAGATAAGTCGATACCCACAATACCTACCATTAGGATTGGGAAACCATGATCCGCACCTTTCCAAACTATTTGAGTCTGCCCACTAATTATCTCAAATCTTAGATTATTGTCCGAGACAATGTCTTCTGCATTATGTACCATGCCAGTAAAATTGGTAAAATTGTCTGGAATGGGTCCACTGAGGTTGTTTTTTGACAAGTCCAATACATGGAGTTGCTGGAATTTTAATATCTGGTGGGGTATGATTCCACCAAACATATTTGATGACAATCGAAGAACAATGAGATTTGGCAAGCTCTTGCTTATCCAAGAAGGTATTCTACCTGAGAAATTATTGCCTCCAAGATCTAGACTGATAAGGTTTTTGCATTTCCTAAGACCCAAAGGAAAGGTTCCTTTCAAATGGTTATTGGCTAGGCGTAAACAGATAAGATTATCTTCGCAAGTCTTCCAAGAGGGAACTACACCACTGAAAGAATTGCTGGAAAGATCCATGTATCCCAAACTTGGCATGTCCCACAAACACTTGGGGAGACCTCCATCTAACAAATTGTTTGATAGGTCTAGGAAGGTTAAATAAGTAGAGTTACAAATGAATACCTTGCCCCCATCTGTCAGTAGCCTGCCATACAAGTGATTTTGACCCAAACTCATCATGCTAAGCTGCCATGGATGCTCGCCAACACAGTCCTTTATATCTGCAACAATGTTGTTTGCCGTGAAGTCAACATACCTCACGGATGTGCAGTTTCGGAAGGTGTGGTGGTGAATGCCCGTGAATCCATTGGACCTAGCACTCACAATACGCAGCCGTCCTCCTATGCAAATGGATGACGGGAACAGCCCGGAGAAGTTGTTCCTTTCAATATCAACTGTATCCAGGAGGCTGCTATTCCCAAACTCAGAGATGATGTGGCCTCCGAGCTGGTTTCCTGTCAGAACCAATTCCTGGAGTGACGCCAAATTAGAGATGGTACCTGGTAGCTGCCCTTGTAAATAGTTATACCATAATTGCAGGTTGTTTAGTTGTGTGATGTTTCCAATCTCAAGTGGGATGCTCCCTGTCAGATTGTTCTTTTGCATGCTGAGCTCGCGGAGCTTCACCAGCTTCCCAATTGTTCGTGGAATTGACCCGGTCAAAGTAACCGAGTGAAGATGGAGCTCCTCCAATGTCGTCAAGTTACCAATCTCTTCAGGTAGATTGCTATCGAGCCCCAGGAGTGATAGATACAGTTCAGAAAGGTGCTTAAGTTGTCCAATGCTGTGCGGAATGGCACCCCTCAAAGATGTATTATTGAAGATATACAACTGGGCCAAGCTCGTCAGGTTGCCAATCCCTGCTGGAATTGTACCATATAGACCATTGCTGAACAAGGTGAGACTCTTCAGGTGGGGAAAAGCCGAGAAGTCGAACCTGTCAAGTGTGCCGTTCAAACTTGTCTGCATAAGAAGGAGCTCTGTCATGTGCCCAGCCGAGTTGCAAGTGATGTGCGTCCACTTGCAAAGGCTGGTGGAGTTGGCCAACGACCATGATCCAAGGGAGTCATCCGCACTGACCAAGCTAGCCTTCCAATTCACTAGCGCTTCCGCTTCACGCCGGATGCCTGCTCTCACCGTCACCGGCGCGGCAGCACATAGTAGCAGCCAAGTGCAAGAGAGCAGGAAGAGACCTAGGGGATGGAGTTTCATAGTGGCTTCGGTATGGGTGGTGCTTCCCTGGTGCAGAGGATATAAAACATTGGGATGAGCCAGCTAGCCAGCCTGCCGGCCATTACAGTGGTGGTCTGGTCGTAGCTTACAAATGGCACACATGAGAATAGGAAATTCCATATCACCATCAGGCTGCCACTTGCTCTACAGGAAAAAACTTTAAAGCCGTGTACCCAAAGAACTCGGCTTATGTCAATATAAACTCGGTTTACATATAAGCCGAGTCAAACTCCCGGCTTATATGACACGGTTTACACTTGATCGGCTTATACGCTATAAGCCGAGTGCCAGTGGGAAAACACTTGGTTTACGTATAAGCCATGTGTTTATACGAGGCTCTCGGCTTACTAAAGTAACATGACGGCAGCCGCGAGATAACGGCCACGTGTCACCGTCAATATAAACCGAGTGCCTAACTGAGCCACACGGTTTAAATATAAACCGAGTGCCTGCATGAGCCACACGGTTTATATATAAACCGAGTGCCCACGAGCTCTACACGGTTTAAATATAAACCGAGTGCCTAAGCGATCCGCACGGTTTAAATATAAACCTAGTGTCTACACGAACTGCACGGTTTAAATATAAGCCGGGTGCCTTTGTACACGGCTTATAGGACATCCATTGTTAAACATATCCTATAAGCCGGGTGCCTGCATCTGGAACACTCGGCTTATACAGCTCCCCGTGGCATAATATGCCTATAAGCCGGGTGCCATGTCCCTGGGACACTCGGTTTATATGCCAAATAGCATTTTTTTTCCTGCATGCTTCAGCGAGCAGCAGCAAGATGGCTTATATATCCAGCAATATATTGATCGATCCAGCAAGCAAAATGACCAACAATATATATCCAGCAATATATTGATCCAGCAAGCAAAGTGAGCAACAATATATATCTGGTGGGATTTGTCCTGAAAATAAGTAAGAAAAACATAGAAAATGGCATTAGATACAAACAGAATCATAATACCATTGCTCTAAGAAAAAACTGGACAGCAAATGAGAAGGATGAGACATCACTGAAATTATAATTTATAAATTGCATGGAATCTCTAAAAGGCTTATATTTAGGAACGGAGTGAGTATATCCACAAGCATGGCCCAAAAAACACAACATTACTAAAACGTCTTTCTAATTTTGATGGAGGTACTGCCAAAAGTAGGGCAAGAAATCCCAAATTAAAACACCGGGAAGCGAACCTTTAAAATGAATATTTATTGGAACAGAGAAAATAACATAAAACAGACCTGATAAATAAGCCACTCGATGCAAGGGTGAAAAATAAAAAGGAAAAATATGCAAGAAACATGTCTCAATAATGATCTGCGATCAAGTAATTTTAGAGATGTCATTTTGAAGAGAATATCTTAAGTAGAGCACTGCATGTATTTCTCATACTACGTGAAAAGAAAAGGCCATACTATGCAAACTACATATGGGCATATTTTTAGAAGGAAACTTTGTCAGGTTCGAGCAGACATAATTTCATCTTGTTCTTAAGACGACATATGGATATATTTTAGAAGTAAACTTTCTCAGGTTTGACCAGTCATAATTTCATTTTGTTCTTAAGACGACTTCCATTCCAGCAAAAAATTGGCGACAAAAGAGACCTTATTTTGGTTCTAAAATACACACAGAAATATCAAGTATATAGCAGCTGAAGTGCTCCTTACCTCCTCCCAGTAGCTATTCAGAAATACATCGGCGACGATTGCAGCTTCCAATATCACAAGCAAGAATACAAAGATCACGTGCTACATACATGGCAGGTTAAGGCAAAATAGTCCATATCACCAAGACACAGTACATCTAAGGTCACAGAGCTCCAAGAACATAACTGGGACTTAAGGTTTCAGCAAACTATTATTAGGAGTCAACAGTTCCAGTTCAAAACTTGACTGCTAGAGACATGACCCTCTTTTTGAAATATCATTTATATTTTTTAAATGGATATATCTGAAAAAAAAAAGCACGCAAGGTTTGGTCTTTATGTGACAATGCAAAAGGCTTTGAGGAATTTTGTTAAACCAGTAGCAGCTTCCATGTAAGCACACTTAAATAGGCTAACTCAACTCCTAGTATCAGACGCTTCCAAGGATACACAAGACAGGCAGGGGCTGTTTGCAGTTTCAGCGGCGATGTAGCCCAAGCAGGTCAGCAAGCACATGATGATTCCCAGGCTGAGAAGAGTGTAGATAAACCTGCATAAAAATTGATCTCTTAATCAAAATAGCCATCCCATATTACATACAGTATATTCATAAGAAATCCCTAGAATACTCTTGGCATGGCAAAGAGGCATGAATTCTCTAGTTTCTCAGACCCAACATAAAAAACATGGTAGTAGTATAAATCATCCGGTGCGTAGCTTAACAGCGAAGCGAGAGGAAGATGCTGATCACCGCAAATATTTTTACCCCAGCCATAAGTTTTGTTCGACCTACAACATTTGGATTGGATAAACTATCTTCGGCTGTAAGCTAACTTGCTGGAATGCAACAACAGAAGATTGTCTTGAACACTAATTTGTAAAAGTAATATGCAAGATACAATGAAAAGTAAGATATCTAATTTAACTGCCCTGCCAGCAAGTTGCACCCAGATAGTAGTTATTCTGATTTCTGAACCAGTGTACTATTCTGATATCTGAAGCTAATTTACTCTGAGATAAGAGTCCAATTGCCAGCATCAACCAGCTTCTACACCTACATGTTCTTCTATTGCCAATTTACCATCTTTCATAGATTTCTTCTTACTCTTCCTTTTCGTATGAGCATCACATCACAGATGAGAAAAGGGGAATCAGGAAACATGCATAAATATGAACAAGAGCATTCAAGGCAAGGCAAAAGATGATCTAAACCACAATGGATGAGCTCGGTGCACTTGACCTTGGTACAGTGCTGGTTTCCCCACGCACGACGGCGACAGCGCTGCCCAGGCAGTACGGTGGGAATTCGGTCGGCGGTGTGTGCGGGGTGCGGCAAGCCGCACTTTATTCTGCGGGGTGCGGTGAGCTGCGGTTCGCCCTCACCTCTCTCCCTATTCTGCATTAGAAGCAATAATATCCAATAAGGGCACAAGTAGGCACAAGTTCAGCAACAAGGGCACAAGTAGGCACAAGTAGGCCACCCAGCATGTTTGGTAATCATCATCTACCTCATGTTATATCATCCCTAGTTACTAGTACTTCATTATGCAGACTTGTGGTTTATGGAACTGAAGTAACCAAAAGGGTAGGCCGAAAAAAGGTACTCTAAACAAAATGATAATATGCATGCTGTGTTCAGTAGTAGATAGTAGAAATGACTATATGCAAGAGCTTGCTAGAATACTAGCTATATATATATATATATATATATATATATATATATATATATATGACTTTATGTTCAGCAAATACAACTGAAGTTATGTATTGGCACTCAAAATATCTAACCAGAAGCACGGCTCATTATCCATTGACGACAAACTAGCAGTCAGCCCAGTACGCCGGCATGGATGCAGGACTCGGCTAAAACCAAACACGTACTACAGGAGTAATTATTTGCGCCAAATATTAGGTGTGTCGGGTGCCAAATCTTGCCAGATTGCTGGCTTCGCCCCTGTTTGTATGAACCCTGAGCACTGTGTGTATGTGTGTGATGCAGGTGTTCTGAAGATGCAATTGTGGGATGGAGGGGAGCCAAAACCAGATGTAGCATGTGTTCCTGCTGATGCAGTTGTTCCACGAGCAGGAGATCAGTAGGGGCACGCCGGAGCACCTTCACGCCGGAGCACCTTGCCGCCTGAGGAGCCGGGCCCTGGTCAACAGAGAAAGATGCTGTCACAGAGAGAGAGAGAGAGAGAGAGAGAGAGAGAGAGAGAGAGGGACCTGCCGGCGGAGGGAGGGTGGGGCAGCCGAGATGGCCGGACGACCTCAACCCTATCGAACGGGGAGAGGCGGCGGCGCCGATGGGAGGGCCAGCTCGGGGCTCCCCATGCTCGGG